GATTTTGAATTCCAAGCATGAAAAGGTCCAAATTAAAATGTAATTAGCCATCTAGAGATACGATTTGTTCAAAATATTCTCAGCTGGTATAACCATCTAATGAGTTACTTAATAATTAAAAGGAAAGATCTTCCAAATCAAGAAAAGATTTTTGGAAAAGACCCCTCCCAGCTCCCAGACTAACTATATAAAAGAGACCCTATCAGAAAAGAGGACATTATATTCTTCCGCCACTATCATAGAATAAGAGCTGTTCGAGTTTGTCTTCTCCATTATCCTTTGACACCCTCGCGAATTTCAGAGCCCACAGACCTCAATCACTACCTCATGAAAACTATCTTGCATCTTCCTGAAGATGCATACTGTAAAGGCACCAAAGAGTCAAGTCTGTGACTTGAGTGGGGTAACCAAACCCCTACCGATGCCATGCCATGAAAGGTAATAATAGGTCGATCACCCGGTCCGGTCCAAGGATCTGAAAAATTGGGTTGATGCAACCAGGTAGTTCGAAGTGCCCTGCAAGTTGGGGTGTCAATTCCACTGGATTTAGTTCAATTTGATCTGGTCCAATATGAGTTCATTACAAGGAATAGGTCCAATCCAATCCAATGAATACTTTGGACCAGTCCAATTCAATGTCTGGACTGTCCAATTTATTCAAATTAGTTTTAATTGAAATTTGTTCCAATTCAAACCTGGTCCATTGATACCTGTATCTTATCTTCTACCAATGGACCGAATGTTGGTTCAGTTTGATCCCATCCAATATAAACCATTACGAATAGAGTTAAGGCTGCAACTTGGGCCAGTTGGCCCGAACCCAACCCAAAAAAAGTTGGGTTGGGTTGATATTCGGGTTAGAGTTAGGGTTGAAATTCATGAACCCGACTTTACTTCGGGTTGGGTTAGGGTTGACCCCTTAGACAACCCGACGCTATAGTACATGTCATACATAAATATATGTTACATGTAATATATAACATACATTGATTTGTTTAGATGCATGATATTGTATAGCCCCCATCACATAGTATCATGTATTTCTTTTAAGATAATCACTTCACTTAATCTTAATCAAAAAGACTAAAACCTTAATAACATTATTTTATGTTTTTTGAAAATTTTATTCTTCATCTATGTTGTTTGTCGCCCAAGAAAGATCTATTGTAAGTCATAACTCATAATAAAATATAATCATTTCTTAAACTTGTTTTTCTGAACTTTGTACCAAACGAACAAAAATAATGTCAACAAACAAATACTAATGAAACATAAGATTAATATATATAGTGAAAGTTGAGTTAAGATCTAAAATCGAGAAATTCTTTAAGGGATGGGAAGAAAGTTGGGTTGGGCCCAACCCAACCTGAAATTGGGTTGGGTTGGGTTAGGGTTGAAGGAATTTAGTTAGGGTTAAGGTTTGGGTTGGTCGGGGATTTAGAACTTAGGGTTGGCCTCAACCCAACCTAACTCAGCCTGACTTGCAGCCCTAGATCGATTAGGTTAATACTTTGGACCAAGGTTCTAAATATCGATATGCCTGATATGTTGGTAGAGGCATATTGGGCAATATTGGTCCTTTTTTTTTTACTTTTCATTTATTTTTTTTCAACACTGGTTCAGGGGGGCCAATTTAAGGCTCCTCCACCCCCTGAACTGGTCAAAACCCCCATACACCCTTTATAAAGGCATATCAGGGTGCTTCCGATACGATACGCATCAACCAATACATGTCGATACTTTGAACCTTGCTTTGGGCCATTGAAGTCTGAACTGTCTAATTCATTATGTCACACTGGTTCGCCCTATTCATCCAAATTGATTTTGATTGGGACGGGGTCCAACCCAAAATCAGTCCATTAACACCCTACCTGCAACATGCATGCATGCGTGATTCATGGGAGGCTATGGATAGCAAAGAGTAAGTAATACAGTTGTGGATTAATGCAAGTAGAAAGGGCCAAAGCCCAAAGAGAAATTGTAAGGACCAAAGGCACAGATGACAACTTTTAGGGTTAGGTAGGTGTTACTGTGTTAGTGTTGCACCTTTTTAGTCTGGGCCAGAATATTGATATTGTTGGAGCAGCTACACCAGATTGCTTGCCTTAGGCCTTGGCTACCACTAATTAATAAAATGAGCTCCACGATCACAGGTGAATCGTGAGAAGGCGTTAAGGACACATATACTCCTATCAACTCTGACTTCTTCCTTTTTTGATATTCATCTTTTACATACATACAACAATAATTAATTGGAGTTGCCTAGGTTTAATTAATATATCACCGAAAGGTTGAGAGAGGGAAAGTTTTCAATTTTTCATGAATGGGACCAACTCAAGATATCCATCGTATTCCTTGGTAATGAATAAGCTTCTCTGTCCACGAATTAAGAATCAAAGCATCAAACTTGCTGTTTATTTATAGTTTTTTCATTCCTTTTGTTGTTGGTTATTGGGGTATGGTAGGTGCCCACAGGCCACCCCCCTTTAAAAGAAAAAAAAAGAGGGAGGTGGCAGAAAAAGCTACCAACTGCATTAGTTCTAGAAGGGAACAATGAGCATGATCCATTTAGTCCATTTGGATTTGGTTCAACAAAATAATCAATTGTTTGGGGAGAATAACCCAGTTGTGCAACCATGATTGGAGTATTGGGGGTTGGAATGGGACCTCCTTTAACCAGACTTTGCTCTCAGCAGAGATCTAGAGGTGGGGGATCAGCTTTCAATATTTCAACTCCCTAACATTATACCGCTTACAACCAATAACAAACTTTTCTTTTGAATAATGATCTTCTCAAATTGACCTTAATTTGATTCTTATTAGTTATGACATTATCCAAGGAAGGAATGCCCACTGCTCACTGCTCACTCACTTTTGCCTTGTTGTCACGTCACGAACCACTAATTGGGCCTAGGCATAGGCAAGGGCAGGGCCCAACCTAAGGAGAAGAGTTTTAGCAAGTTGTTGTTTGTCCTATAAACTCAAGATTTTTAACGGAATTGAGGTTCAAGACTTGAAGCTTCGGCTGGTGACTCAAAAGCCAGAGGCCCAGAGCACACGGACAGTGTGTGAATTAGTTCAACTCGTTTATACTTTACAGCTCTGCTTGTTATCATGATCCATGATGTCCGACTATGAAAAGAAGTAGCATAGTTATAGCTTGTTGGGGAGAGGCCCAGACTTTTTCTTACTAAAGCGAAAAAAAAAAAAGAATTAAGAGAAAAAGGAAGTCTCTCTCTCTCTCTCTCTTGTCGAGTCAGGAGTAGGAAGTAGGGGAGAGAGGGGATATGTGGCAGCCTAGGGAAGCACATGATAGCTTAAGGTCCCATTGCCATCGCTAGCTCAGTAGCTGTATTTTCAGAATGTTTGTTCTATAGCTTTTGAGTACCATTTTCATCCCAAGTAATATTTTTAACATTAATAACTTCAACTCTGCGCTCTCTTCCCTTTGCAGATTAATTCCACTCTTAATAAGTCTCAAATCTCTATCTCTGTCTCATAATCTTCACATGGAGGGGCTGATATCTTGTTAGAATTACAGAATCATGTGGCTTTACAAAAGAAGGGTCCAATTGTTGCAAAAGTAGTCTTCTCATAACCAGTATTCTAAGAACCAATTAAAATTAATCAATCTTGATGTATGGATGCCAGGCATTAAATTAAATTGAAATAAAGGAAAGTTAAAGTTTACACTTGAGATACTAGGAATAAATCATAAAACGCATATTAATGGTACCAAAAACAAATAACTCGCTTTCCTTCCTTATATATATATATATATTTGTTTCACAATTAATAATCACCAAAAGTCGATTAGTTTATTTCAACAAAACCAATCAAAATGAGTGAACCTGTGAGGCTGTAAAATTTGAGGAAGGATTAATCGAATTTGATAGCTGTTTTATGTATAGGACTTAAGCTAGTTTTTGGAAAAGGGACGGAATGAGCTTCCTTCTTTGTTGTTTCCTTGTTATCATAGGGTCCTACACAAATGCCCGTGCTATGACATCTCAGCTTTCGGACTTCAATATCATAAAATAGAAAGCCCGTGTGTTATGTGTGAACAGTCCACATGGGGTCCATCAATATATATGATGACCATTAAGCCCATGTCAATAGATGGGTGTAGAAACACTGAAACATGAAGCATGGGATGGGCCAAAACTGATGAAATCTGCTCCATGGCATGCATCCCAATGAAATTGCGAATAACACGCCAGTGTTTTCGAAAAGAAAATTTTGGAGTGAAGCCCAATCCAGCAAATGTGAACTCACGTTCCGCATTAAACGTATCATATTGTTATCAGTAATAAAACATGGAAAGTTGGAAACACTATACACCAATACAGGGAAAGGTTTAGGGGTTTTAAAACTCTTGGAGTTGGGGGGGCAACATGACTTCACCTACAATAGAAACCCTAAAAACTAATAGCACAAGCTTTTCAATTTGCCAAATCTTTTATCTAATCCCAAAAATCCCTAACAAGTAGTCAATCCGAGTCCAACGCTACAACGTTAAGCATTCCGAATTTAATTAATCCAAATAATAGAAATTATCCATTCTATAAAAAAGAAAGCAATTAAGAAAATAAATAAACCAAATCTGTAGTCTAATAGTCGGAAGGCTAAGATTGATGACAAATAGGAAGCACTACAAGATAGAGTTAATTTTTACAATTTGGGTTTTCTTTCTTTCCTTTTATTTTTTACTAGGGATTAGTGTTGCTTTCTGTAAAAACCCCTTTTAATTTAATTTACCTTCTCATGACTCACTCCTATCACTGGAGGTCTGAAGGATGGACGAGATGGACGACCATCAGGATGGACACGTGTACACTATCGTGTGGTAATGCAAAAGTAATTAGAGTATGCCGGGCCCTCGTGCTTGGAGCCATATTTTAATTTCCTTTTTCTTTTTCTAATTTATTTTTATTTTTTACCTTTTATTAATATATATATTTTGTCCACTGTCATCTCTATTTATTTACCAAGACCACTCCCAAAACCAACTCTTGGTTTTCTACTTCATTCTTCAACTTCTCTCCCAACGCCTCTCCAACTCCAAACAGCGTATTCGTCTTCTTCTTGGCTTAATTGCTCTCTCTCTCTGTTTGTGTAAAGATGGTGAAGGTGTCCGTTGTCCTTTTTGTTTTGGCGGTCTCGGCTGCCATTGGATTTGTCAACTGCGCGTCTCCGCCGTCGGCCGACTGTTCTACTGTCATCTTCAACTTGGCCGATTGTTTGTCGTATGTGAGTAATGGGAGCACGATCTCTAAGCCGCAGGGGTCGTGTTGCAGTGGACTGAAGACGGTCTTGAAGACCAACCCAGAATGTCTTTGTGAAGCCTTCAAGAACAGTGCCCAGTTTGGTGTTACTCTCAATCAGACCAAAGCCGTGGAGCTTCCTGCTGCATGTGGGGTCTCTACTCCTATCAGCAATTGTGGCCGTAAGTCATATGATCTAACCCCTACCTATTTTGTCTTTTAGATCTGTTTTTTCTTAGTTTTGCCTCTTTTTTCCTTCTGTTTTTCTTTTCCATTATTTATTACTATTACTATTTTTTTTTTGTTCTGTTGATCTGGGTAAAATCTGATTAGTATTGGTAGTACTAATTGTTTTTTTCTGGATTTGGGTTTTCATGATTGATTATGGTTTCTTTTCTCTTGTCTTGCAGTGCCCGGTGGTGCTCCTAGCCCTGCTCCTGGTATGTTTTGATTCTGATTGTTTATTACATTGAGCGAGGTTTATTTTTTATTTATTTATTATTATAAAATGGGACTCTTCAATGTTGGTATTCTGGTATGTGAAGCATAAAAAAGCCCAAGAATGTTTCCCTTTAATTTAAAATAGAAAATTTAGAGAATATTTAATCTAATCTGATGGGAATATCGAACTAGTTGTAATAGTAAGATTTTTTGCATTGTGATAGTTCTCTTTCTTCTGTTTTTCTATTCTTGTTCAAAATATTATTTATTTTATTTGTTATTGGAACTTAAAAGTGTTTTATTGATAGAACTTAAACCCATCTTCCTCTGCCTTGAATTGACTTACTGCTTAATTATCTCTGTATTCACCATTCACGAATCACAAATCACAAATCACAAATCACAAACAGAAGCTTTTGTAATTATAATTTGTTTGGAATGTGTTGCAGCGAACTCGCCAAAGACTCCATCACCATCTCCAAAATCACCGAAAGCAGCGCCATCTCCATCGTCGCCGTCTCCATCATCTTCATTACCAGTCACTGAGACCCCTGCCACATCACCTCAGGCCTCCAATCCGGGTGCCTCAGCTCCAGGACAATCTGGTGCCTCCGCGGTCCCGATTTCTTTTATGGCTCTTTTTCTTGGCCTACTGATTGCCTATTTCTGAATGTCTGGGGTCGGTTGGTTTTGCTATTAGTATTAGAGTCTATACTTGGTTTAGAACTGGATCCATGAATTCACATTCTTTTTTGGTTCCCTTACTTTTGTTTTTGTTTCTTATACATCCAGTCATCTGTTCTGGGAACATGCTTTGAGATCACAGTTGTTAGTTTATATGAGTGATATATCTTTTGTTTTAAACGATATGACTATTCTTTGGTGAGCTCATTGAATTCTGTTTAGAAATGTGTCAACCCAGTTGAAATTACATCTGGGAAGGCATAGTTTGCAAACAATCTGGGTGAAACGATACAGGGCAACGCACTGGCCACCGGAAGAGAGAATGTTTCTTTCAATAAAGTTGAATTGGTTGTCTACTTGTCTACGGTGGGGTTATTTTCTCATTTGCCTGGTTATCATGCCAGAGACGGAAGTAGCAATCACGATAGTTAGGAGAAGAAAAAGAAAAGAGATGTCTACCAAAAGAAGAACGGGAAAACAAAAAAGAAACCAAAAGAGAGATCGACTTGGGCCCTTGCGTTTTGGACATCTGATTGGTCCTTGTCCAGTTTTACCTACCCCAATTCCAAGTAAGACTGCGATCATCATTCACTAAGGCTATGTTTGCTTTGAAGGAAAGGGTAGGGAAAGGAAGGAAAACATAGGGAAGCCTATTCAAGGTTTGTAAAAGGTTTTTCTACATTTCCTTGACTTTTCCTACTTTTCCCTTCAAACCAAACACAGCCTAGAGTTGTATAGGCATATAGCCATCATCACGCTTCTTGACAAACCATAAAAGGGGTGATGTGTGTCATGTAAACAAAAGCTTCAATAGAATAGTGAATAAAGAGGATTCTTCTAGTGTGATACGGTGCCCATGTGAGTTCATGTGACGGATCCAAATGCCTAGGAAACTTGCGACATTCCAGTCCAATTTTTTAGTCATGCATAGGGGAGAGAGAGAGATTTATTATCTAACTATGATGGGTCACTTCGATTAATCCGAGTAACCTTAAATTTTTAATTAGCACGGTCCTACTAATTAATTAAAAAAATAATGCGTTAAAAATGCTTTTGGCAGGAGAATCAACCTCGGGATATTATTTAGTCCAAATATGTAACAAAGAAGATCACGCTGCTTATTTAAATAAAAAGAAGTATCAGAATTCAATTCTCCACTTAGCACTTGCATTAATCTAATACTTGTAGATGAAGGAGAACCAAATTTGACTTCTGATGGAAATTTCATTACTATACCCACTGCATCTGCATTTGAATATTTGATCACTACGACTACAGTTTGCTAATTATATTGAGTCAATTCGTTTATTCATCTTTCAATAGGAACTTGTGATGTTTCAAAAATTAAAGAAAAATAAATGAACATTCTGTGACTCATAACAAAAAGAGTTTTATGTTCTATTTGTTGTTTGGTTGCAGCTTACACGCCCAAGTCTTCGTTTCCTTCTCATAGAGCTTCATCTCCAGCTCCGGCAGCACCAATGTCTCCAGCTCCTACACCTATGATCTATACAAGTGAATCTCCAGTTCCTGCACCCACAAGTGAGTCTCCGTTGAGTTATCTACCTGGGTCATCAGTGAGCTCCCCCCTCACTCCAGCTCCTACACCTGTGAGCTCTCTCTCCGACTCTTCATCTTCAGATTCCGGGCAGTTTGGTGCTTCCTCGTTTCTGCTTCCATTAATGGCTCTTTTTGTTGGTCTAGCTGTTGCTTCATGAACTTCTTTATCGGCTATTAGTATTTTCCCTTAAAAGTATACTGTTTGCCAGTATACTGAGGGATTATTATTTTGATGATTTCTTTCTGTTAGAGTTCTTATTGTGTTGTATTATCTCTACTCGTCTTAGAATGACCTGGCATTCTTTCTTCTTTCTAATTTATTTTAATATTGTATAGACAAATTAACTAAATAATTTTTTTCTTTTCTTTTTTTTTTGTTATAAAGACTAACCATTGATTCTTGAACCTGCTTATGGCTAACTAATACATGTAAAAATCAAGTGGCAGATGAAAATGGCTCTACATTGTTCTCCTAATCAACTTTTTTTCCACATGGCAAATCTCTTTTTAATAGTTAGTATACCTGATTCAATCCTCACAAAACCGTTCTCACACCATGTTCACAGTCACTTGCAACTGTGCATCGAGACTATCTCCCCATTAATAAAAACATACAAATAGGGAGATATACTCCCTGCACGACTGCACAGGGTTGTGAACACAGTGTGAGGACAACTTTACTAGGACTGAATCCGGTTTTGTATACCTATCATATGTGTGGAAAGAGGCATCAAAGATGCCTCCCTAATCCCTATGCGTGAAAATCATGGAAAAGTCAAGGATCAATATGTGTTTGGACAATCATAGCTTCTTGTTTAACTCTAATAGTCTTTTGCTATAGTAATAATTATTTGTTTGTAAAATAGAGCCCACACGTTGAAGTTAATCAGTGGCCCTTTGGAAGGGCTTTCCCGTGATGACTTTTGATTTTGCAAGATAGGCCTCACCCCATCACCCGGACCGGACGGTCTATAAGCAATGCCTGATGAAAATTCCAGAAAGCCCAAATCAGATGTCCTTCTTCCAAAATAAACGGCTTTTGTGTTGAAGTTTATCTGGTAGCTTCCCTAAAGCAGTTTTGTTTTCCACTGAGCCCAAGAGACTTTAGCTTTAGGGGCTGTCTCAGATGATCTCTCAACAGCCCAATAGATAAGAAGATGCACTGAGTTTTTGGGGTGTGGTTCGCATCGTGGTCTTCTGAGCTGTTAAAAGCAGTTGGGAAGGTTATTTTCAGCAGATCAAAGCTTCATTTGAAACTTCCCATTTTTTGGCTTTTTTGGTATTTTCTTGTGCTCATCTTTGGCTCTTTTGATCCACGCGACACCAAATGACAAAAGACCTTTTTTAGTCTTTTCAGCTTCCCACAGATCAAAAGATGAATCGGAAAGATGCACCAAACACCACCTTATTTTTTAAAACATCTGCAAAAAGCTCACGCTAAAATGGAGTCTAAAGAAGATCAAGATCCGCAACTTGATAATGGATCCCGCCAAACTAAAATGGCAGATACATCAATGAGTCTAAAGAAGATCAAGATCCACAACTTTATAATGGATCCCAGCAAGATGGTCGATAGGAGATAGGGATCCAGAATTGAATGGGTCCAGATGCAAAGATGACTAATACAGAAATTCAGCATGAGTAGGTTGGCTTTTCACCATAAAAATGGATATATACAGAATAAACGCACCCACTCATTCAGATCAAAATGTGGACTAAATGACTCTCAGACCTTCCAATCCCCATTAAGGAGAGTTAAAGGCTCTCCTTACCTAGTCCTTTTATATTGGAATCCATACTGCGAGTTTGCCTCTAAAAGATTGAATAGTTTATCAAAAGTATACAACCTTTTCTTTTTTTTTTTTCCTTTTTAATTCTTTTTTCCTCTATGTGGGTCTCGATTTATGATATAATGAAGCACTTCAATTATACCAACCATGATCACAATTCACAAGCAACCCATACTAAGATTTTGTTCCTCACTTTCGCTAATATAAGGAATTGGTGGAATTGGTTGTGGAAAGACGAGGTGTCACTAAATGGTGAAGTTTCGCTTAACTAGTCTCTTTATTCAAAGGAAAATGTACGGTTTAGATTCAATTGAACAAACAGCCATGAATCGATCAACCTAACAGTCCGAACTGACGGGTTCCATATGGCACCGACTTCAGGAGACAAAATGATGTCAAGAGACGGGGCCAGTTTGTCTATCGACTCTGGCTCAAGGACACGCCGAAGTGGACCCCCCCTCCCCCCATGTTGTCTCATACACCACCTCAACCAGTTGACTTCCACACCCGTCTTGTGTACGAACCTACGGTGGATGATGTAATCGCCCATATGGGGCACAAGCAATGCAACACAGGTAGCCTACACCTGTATGGGCCATGGTCACACACCCTTGGCTTGGAATGATCCTTTTACTGATGTAAAGGATGAACGGAGGAGCAGTTGTCGCACAACTGTTGAGAAGAGATCCGCAGCTGAGGCCAATACCTCCACACGAATCTACCATACTCTTTTCAGCCAAAACCAAGGCCTCCTCAACACAACCTGCCAACCGTCCTCGGTCACTACGACCTCGAGAGTGGGGGACAAGTGATGTAAGGATATCTGGCTGACTTGCAAATCTTGACATGTGGCACCAGTTAGATGCATCCTAGTCATCCATCATCAACCATTGTCAATTGCCACCACCTGTTCTCAATTGCCCCTCTTCTAAGGCAACCCCATCTATAAAAGGAACTCCCACATTGAAGTAAACATACGGACTTAAGCTCTAAGTTTCCTCTCATGCTTTGTCCAACCCCTCACAAATCTCGGCTAATTTGACCATCAGAGTCTACGCCCCTGGGTTAACTCTTGGAGCTTTTGACATTTTCTTTCTCTCAACAAATTGGACCCATTGGCCTTAGACACCAGAAATTACGTTGTTGCTCAACAATAGCAAAAATCACTTTTATGGTGGATTTGTGGTCCAAAAGGAAAATTACTTTTTGGAAGTATTCTTGTTGTAGGTACATAGTGCTCGCTTAGTCCATCAAAGTACAGAAAACACCAAAGTGATACTATATGGATGCTTGCAATGAGTCCATAACTCATCAGTTACTTACGATGAGCTTATAACTCCTCAAACGTTTGCGATGAACATACGACTTATCACACGTTCGTGATGAATTTGTACTCGACACGAGTCAAGACATATTTTAGTTAATGTAAACCTGTGATGAATTTTATACGCGCGTAGTTCTGCGATAATCCTTGGATACACATGGTTCTATAATGATTCTCAGAGGTGTACGGTCTTGCAATGAACCCGAGGCCATTATAGAACCGCGGGTCGCTATGAACTGGAGTTAAATATCGGTTAAACATGCTACCTTAAGTGATGCATGTGATAAGGTACCATGTAGGCTTAGTAAAGATGCGCCCGCCAAACAATGATGTCACCAACACCACGTCGGTTAAGTAGGTCATGAAAGGAAGTAGCACATGCGAGTCGAGTTATGAGAATCTTTAGACGAAAGGAAAATCAGTCATTGAGAGATCTCATTAGACACATGGCGAAACCCTAGCAGTTCCCCTTAATGACCGACAACGAATCTAATATTTCCTTTCCTCATATGAACCAAGCACTTTTGATTCCTTTCTTTCGGGACCTTGGGATCCCTCCTTATAAATGAGGATCCCCCTTATAACATTTCATTTGATCACTGATTCACTCAATCATTAGATTCCCCACTCATTCTACTTAGTTGTCTCACCACTCCCCTTTGCCCTAATCTCCCAGTTGATTTCCTGCCTACGGTCTTCCTTCATCCTTCAAGAAAACCACTCCCACGAAGCCTGACCACCTCACCTACACTTGTAAGAGGTAAAATTTTGTTATTGTGGATTTGTGGTCCAAAAGGAAACTTCCTACACCAACGCACCTATTTGCTATTTTTGTCATGCGAATGAGTTATTTGAGCCATTTTGTTCTTATCAGATGGGAATCCTTCATTTACCACATGGGAGACATCCATTAGGTTGGCTATATATGCATCCAATTCTATATATGGGTCCTATATCAAACCATGTATTGGAGTTTTATTTGGGCAGAACTTTTCATAATGAGGTGGAAAGAGTATTAATAGGTCCACTTCAGCTCAAAATTAACTATTAAAGAGGTCCCTTTTATATTTTTAAAAAAGTACTTTTTTTGTCCCTAAAATTTACGATTTATAAAAGTACTTTTTTCTAGAAATAGGATGCACCCAAACATGAACTACTACATACCTCCCTTAAACGGAGTATGTATTTTGGGAAGTTGGTAAAGTTTATGGTGCATAAAATATATCTTAAAATAACGTGAATCAGTAATAAAAATTGGCATCTTTAAAAATTGTACATATTTGCATTTATACTCCTTCCAAACTAAGCTCTTAAGGACAAAGACGGTTTTACTTGAGATGTTAGAAGCAATTAAACAATGATCCTCGCGAGAACACAAACGTCGTTAGGCTATGGAAAATCGCTGCAATTGTACTCGTAGACCTCTGGATTTGGGATGTTTTGAGATGCATGCCCCATAGGAATGACAAATAAAATCTCTTTCTATCTATTAAGAGTAATTGTTATTAGAAGGCCCACCCACATGTGTACGCCGTATGATCCATCTAACAGCGGAGGCCCAAAAGGCCCGTCTTCTCTATTTGGGATGTTAAAGGGGGGTTCTATACTTAAATGACCCTATGTAAAATTATACAGGCGGGCTCGAAGCATACGAGGCCAGATTAAAAATATGTAAATTGGGGCTGGGCCGGGCCCATTAATTTCACATTGGACTTGCGTCCATCGGTGTAGCCAAAAGCGAAGGAGTCACGTTGATTCACAATTAATGAGAACGAAGTAATGGAATTGAAGTAGTGCAGGCAAAGACTAGAATATTCCTTTTACATAATGCCACCAATTACATGTGAAAACGTTACAACAGACCTGCACAAGTCCTTAAATGTTGCCCTCCCCCCTCCTTCCCTATGACATCAACACCCACCCAACAATCCAAGCCATCATCATGTGATACCGATTTGTGGCTGGAAATTAAAGAAGAAAGAAAGAAACATATAAATGGACCGGCAGGCAAGGACCACTCCCAAAGTTTTCAGTTTTCACACAGACCTCGCATAATCTATCTAAATCCTTAGAACCTCTAAATAAAAAATCGGGGACGAAAAAGAAAGAAATGAAGAAGCCACAGTTTATTGAATTTAAATTGCTTCACTTGTATTCCAAAATCATGTTGTTCTCAGGAGCCAGACCGATACAGGCCCTCAATATGTTCTCAAGCATTGCCCTCTGCTTTGACAGAGCGTTCACCACGGGCGTCCCTGGTGGAACCTGTGTGTCAATTCACACCCACGCAATTATATCAACTCTCTAGTGCTGAATGTTTAAACTTAATTCAAAATATATATACTGAAAAAAAAAAGAAAAAAGATTAGGAGATCAGGATGATGGTTGGTTGCTTACAAGTGGGGCTTTGGTGAGGTAGCTGAGAATAGTAGCCACAGGGTGGAAAGAGTGAAACTTGCCCTGGAAAAATGAAAAGTAGCCTTTGTCAATCCAGTTTTTTTGATAAAACGATCGAATATTATGATAATTAAGAAGAGTCGAACTGGCGAACCTCTCCTTCAGCTTTGAGTTGGATCCTTGTGCTGAGCTCTGCCAAAAGGACCAAGTCTAAGATGATGGGAGCAGCCAACAGTGAATCCTCACAGGTGTTGTGCAGGACGATTGTGCTCCGCCCGCCCATGAATATCTCCGACGTGTACTCGTCCATTGCCCTCTTGCTGTCTCCCACATATGGCACGTACTGCACCAGCACCCAAAAAGAATAGTTAGTTAAGGCGGAGCATGCATGAGCGGAAATACAACGCCCGAGCCGCTTCTATAGGCTAGTAGAATACCTTGATGACGATGACATGGTCAGGGTGCTCTCCGGGCTGGTAGAGGATACCGTTACTGGACACCATGTCGTCCACAACGTTGCTCTTCGATATCTCCTTTGACCGGAATGTCTGTGGCGCTGAGAGATTCATGCCGTCGTTGTTCCCCAAATGGTTATAGCTCACTATGGATGTTGGCTGAAACATCCCGACGTCCGGCCGTTAAAAATTAAAGGTAGCTAGATTTGAATGAAGATTGATTAGAGTTGGAATTGAATGGTTTTACTGTACGTTACGTACCTTGATTCCAGCCCCAACAAGGAAATCAACCAAGACGGATTTCATCTTGGTCTGACCACTCTTGAAATCATCCCCACCAATCAAACAGTTCCTCCTAATTGCCAGATCAATCAGCCCAGGGACGAATGTGTTCTGAGGGCTTCCATTGATGAAGGGGACGTTTTCGAACACACAAGCAATGGCATATAAGGTGGAAGGAGAAATCTCTGCCTCGTTCTTCTCCAACGAAAACAAGAGGTTCTCCATGGTGTCGTTTAGCCCCACAATTACATCACTATATCTCTCCGTGTTAGCAGTCCACAGAACCACCACCTTATCTACCTTATTAACCTCCTTGAATTCCCTATTCACCATTCAATTCAATATTACAAATTCCAATATCATCAGCATGCATACATCTCTCTGCCTTCTGATCATCATCATTTTATATATTATTATTAAAAACAAAAATTTAAACCAAACCAACCTGATGTCCTTCCTCACTTGTTCAATTTGCTCTTTCTTGGTCCCTTTAATGACGTTGTTAGCGCGGGCCCCCTGATTGGCTGCGATGAAATCAGGGTCGTATATCCCTGGAAGAGGGACCATGGACTCCATGTAGGGCCTCAGTTGTTTTTGCAGGTCGATGTCCAACACCTTAGCCCTGGCCATGGCGTCTGCCAAGTTCATGTCGCTAATGTCCCAACCCCCAAACACGATCTCATCTGGGTTCACCTGAAACTCAACAATTAATAAAGTATTTATTAAGTATTGTATTATATAATGGCCTTTACTTAAAAAAAAAAACAGAAAGTATTTATGTATGCATTTCACCATTAATTAATTACCATTGGGAGCAAGCTCTTGAAAGGAGCGTAAATTTCTTCCCCATTGAAAGAACCGACTCGGATGGTTGAGGCCTGGGTCAGTGAACCAAAATAGTTGGCTTGCTGTACTTTATCCTTGGTAGCCCAGGAGATTCCTCTGAAGGGGAAATAAGAAATCAATGATCCACATATTTAAGGAAAATGGCATTCTGATGGGGAAAATATAAATATTTGCCATAAGAGAACCAATGATAGATGATTTATCATTATTCAACACAAGATCTCATCATAAAAGAGAAACAGAAAAAGTGGGGAAAGAGAGCTAAGAAGAAATTAACTCACTCCCGATTCGCGATTACACCACCGGTAAGGGTTGAGCCGTTGTTTCCTCCCCAACCCACAAGCATAACTCTACAAATTAAACATCATCAAGAAGTTACACACACAAACAAAAAAAATAAAAAAAGAGATTTTTTGAAGAAACCCAAATGATGGATCTTCATTATTTCACAACGAAGAATGGAAAAAAAAAACAGATCAAAACAGAAATGAGGAGGTTATTGAAATCCAACCCTAGTTTAGGAACGTGGGTGTCAGTCTTGAACTCGTATTGAACGGTCTTAGGCTTGACGACCCATTGATAGGTACCGTTCCTGTTCTCGTGGACAAGCTCGGTGGTCTCGTAGTTGTAAACAGAGTGAATTTCATTCTCTGTATACTTAACGTTAGGGCTCTCAACCTTGAAACTCTCAATAAACATCTTGACGGAATGAGAAGCAAAAGAAAGAATGTAAGAAAGCGAGATCAACTGCGGCACAGAAGATGGAAATGGAAGAAGAGAAGGAGAGCCGTTCTTTCCTTTTCACTTCTTCTCTCGCGATATCTCTCTGTGATTCTTCATTCCGCAAGCAAAGCATCGTATTTATAAGGAAAAATAAGCGGTAGAGACGCCACGTGAAGACAAGTAGTGAATGGGTAGTGGCCTCCCTTTCCACTTGAATTGTAAAGTTAGGGTCGACCGTGCAAAAACCTTGGGCTCGTACAGGCCACCCACAGGTGACAGGCCATAGTCGATAGCGACTTGTGTGGAGAGCATAAACCTGGCGTTACGCGTGGCTAGAAATTGATGGAGACACTTGTAAATTTCCTCAATGAAGACCCCACAGCCCCGACCACTCAGGGAAGAAGGTCCTGGAAGGAGGGAAGGCGACAGTTTTAAGGCCGTCATCTTCAATCTTCATTGAATGACTGAGACTTCTGGTAGGACCAACAGAGTAACAGTCACGACCCGGTCCATCACCCTTTCTTCCTTCTCTCCCTATTTTCGGAGACGGGATCTGCTCCTCACACGCAAATTCTACCATGCATTGAAATTATTTTCCGTACTTATTAATGAATATTCACGAGAGATGTTCCCAATGTACGGTAGATGTGTTTGTGACGCGCCCATTTGTGAGGAACGGATCCGTCACCTACTTTCCCTCCTAAAGCGTCTCGCATTCCGGAAACATAGACACCTTTTTAATATTTAAATTCGTTTAGAAAATTAAAGAATCCAATTAAGTCATTAATAATTGAATTCATTATGTTTAGTCACTTAAAAAGTTGATTAGTTTAAGTTAAGTGAACATTCAAAGTTCAAACGAGTTTTGATTGGCGAGTTATTTAGATATCATACGTTTATAATATCATAGATGTATTCTCACGTCATTACTTAGGTTTGGGATTAGGGTTGTAATTCCTAATTAGATTCGATTATTAAAATCTTACATTTGAATTTGATTCAAAATCAAATTAGATTTAAAGACTTCCGATTCGAATTTGAATTCTAATAAATTTAGATTTAATTTGATTCGGTTTTAAATTTTACGATATAAAAATATTATAAAAAGTTAATTATTTTTTAATTTTTATATATAATAAATTAATATAAATATAATATACTAAATATATATATATATATATTATTTTAAATATAATTATATAAAATTTATATATTAAAATCAATAAATATTATAATATAATCATATTCAAATTTTAATTGAATCAAATATGGAATCAGATTACCAATTTTCGGATATTATTGATAAATTTATTTGGGATGGATTGGATCAGGCTTGATAAATCAAGGGATTGCGTTACCTTCTTCATTCAAAAACCTCACCACCACCTTCTCCATCGTTCATTATACGCCTTGGGTTTTTTTAGTTCTACTTTTTCTTTACTTTTATCTTTCGTGATTAAGTTTTACTAATCATTTTGCAATTTTATTTTTCTATTGTTTGTGTTCCTTAATTATTTTAATCATGAATTCAATCGGTTGATGTGGTAATCCCAAGCTTTTAACCCCAGCTGGAAACTCAAAGTCGATTGGTCAATTAATTTTCCATGAGAGCAAGGTTCAAAATATCGATATAATCAATATGTCAGTAGGGGCATATCAGGTGAATCAATATTGTTTTTTTTTTATTTTTTTTTTTGAAACCGGTTTAAGTCTCCTCCATCCTTTGAACCGGTCAGACCCTCAATACACTCACTATAGAGGCATATCAAAAAAATCCCAAAATGATACATATCGATCAATACGAATTGATATATATACTTTTAACTTTGCACAAGAGCCTGTATTAATAAATTACAAATGGTTTTTTGTAATTTTATTAATTTTTAATCACTAAAAATTACCAAAAATTGGAAAAGATATGAAAAAATAATTTTGGAGGATGGGGTTTGCTTTTTTCACACCTGCAAAAAGATTTGTGCACCAAAATAAGCTGGTTTCATGCCAAAAAGTATTGATAGAAATGGTTTTTCACTAATATTTAATTTCTAGAAATTACAAAAAATTAGGAAAATTTATTTTGT